ATCTTCTCGAAATACGGATATCTTAGTCTTCCCTGTCGGCTACGTTCACTGGGGAAGTTGGCAAAGGGATGACTTAGAGATGACTTTCGTTTTGCTGCGTTTCTAAGGGGGGAAGAGGTGAAAGGCATGACATAGAGATGACTTAGTCGATTGCCTGTAGAGCCCAAGTCCACCTTAAGGGCCTAATCTCCTAAACCCTAAACCCTTAAACCTTAACCTCTATGCCCCTTATACCTTAAACATTACAAAACCCCATACCTCTAAACCTTAAAACCCCTTAAAAGCCCTAAAGCTCCAAAACCCTAAGCCTCAAAACCCTAATTCCTAAGCCCTAAACCGCCTACAAAACCAGGTCCACCTGAAGGGCATCAACATCAACAACGTGGATCGCTCTGTGGGAGGCATCCTCAGCTTCGAGGCGTACCGTGGTAAAACAAAACAGGGCTCCCCTTAACCCTATAAGGTTTATGGTTTAGGGTATAGTCCCCTTTCAGTAGATAGAACATGGGGTATATGGGGATCTTCTGTTAAAATACCCAAAGCCATATTCTATCTACTTCAGGGAAACTCTAGGGCTTAGGGAGCCTGGCAGCCCTAACCTCTAGGGTTTAGGGTTTAGGGGTTTAGGGTTCAGGGGTAAGTTTAGGGCTTAGTGCTTAGGGAACCTTAAAACCTTAAACCCTAAGGTCTTGCCTTCAGAGTGTCTAGGGTTTGGGATGTGGGGATTTTTTTGAAGAACTTAGGGTTTCGGGATATAGGGTTCAGGTGGCACTCTGAACATCATTATTTTCTATTGTGGTATAGGGGACCATGTTTACACATGAATTTGGGAGGTCCTTAAAAAGTACCACGGAGTCATGACTTCATACTGTTTGGGGTGAAGGGCTTAGGCTTCCCCCCACCCCTAAATGTTAAATGTGGGCCCCAATATATGAGGCCTCCTATAGGGAATAATGGAGCATGAAAACTGGGATCATACAGTGGTTTATACGGCTTAGTGTTTCCCAAAATTCGGTGTATTTGAGAGTAGCTAGTAGCTTGAAGGTGAACGTTAGTATCGTTGCGGGAAAGCTAGTCCCGGAAGGTGAAAGTGAAAGGCCAGGTTGTGTGCTGTGCTCTCAGAGCTGTTCCTGTAGAGCATTCCCTCCTACAAGCATGTCAGCACCACGCAATCATGGTGACACTGTAGAGGTCACCGTGTGTGACCCCACTGAAGCCTACTGCTGTGCCTCTGCACCAGGTTATTTCACTCTTAACCACCCCTAGATGCGACCGCCAGCACAGGCGCCTGCTTTGCATTGCAGGTACTTTAGCCCCGGAGGATCCACCTAATATGCCACGCTGTGGAAGCGCTTCAGTGGCCCTCGCAGCCTGGTTCGAAGCTTCTGTGACCGCCAGTCAGCTTGCCGCCTCCGAAGATCCTGCATGGATCATTCCCAAAGGGTCCATGTAGGCATATACTATATACTCAGGCCCTATATGCATATACCATATACCTACATGGACCCTTTGGGTTTACAGATCTTTATGCAGTGGCCGTGATTCTAGGTTCTAAGCCCCAAAGTCTTGCAAAACGATATGTGGCACCCAAACTGAATTCCACCGTTGCCGCCAACAAGTAGTATTGACTCCAGCTCATGCAGGGGTTTATAGGGAACTATCGCTGTGTGTTTGCAGGTGTTTTGAAGGCTTTTGGGGCTTGAGGGCTTTTAAGTCTCGTTATTCCGGATAAAGCCTCCCCAATTGCCACCGAACCCCCTAATCTGGCTTGCTGTTGAGTAACATGAATTAAGTTACCATAATATGGATATACTTCAGGAGGACCCCCCACCCTGTAATAGTGGTATACTAAGAATATAAGAGGACCGTAATATGATCCCTATTATCCCTTATAGTCACTATTACTGGGTGGGGGGTCCACCTAAGATATACTGCGCCATTTCGGAAGTTCGACCCACTCCCTCAAACCAGCTAGATTGTCCACTTGGGCGCAGCAAGAACTACCCCTCCTCCCCGTAGACTCCTAACACTGAGCCTTGCGGCTTCTGCTGGGACTAAATAGTATTATGTTTTTAAAGCAGCGTATTACTTACTCCGCTAGCAGGGCTAGTGAAAACGGCATGTGGGGCCCTTCCGCTACTCCGCAGAATGCTTGCACTCCAGTAAACATGCTACAAGGTCCCGTAGATCAAAGCTTTCGGAACGCCGATGTATAGTAATTCATAGGGTTTCCCCATTGTAGTAAGTTAAATTAAGTTCCTGTACAGCAACCCAGTAGCCCATAGCTGTGTGGGCCCTTCATGAGAGTAGTCTTCTGGGATTTTCCTGTATTTGTGGTTTTCTGGGCGGAGCATTTTGATTATTAGCTGGGAGGGGGTCTAGAAGGGGAAGGAATTCCTAGGAATGCTGCCGTGCATGGGAGAAATGGGGGCTTAGGGTTTAGGGCACCAACTTACATACCTTGTACCCTCGGCCAGTCTTCTGGGGCTAAGGGTTTGGGCTTTAGGGCTAAGTTGTGCTTGACATCCTCCATCCAGCATAAACCCTAAACTCTAAACTCTTGTTTATGAGCATCTTATATACTCAGCTCTGAACCCTAAATCCCCAACCTCAACTTATGCATCCCCGTATACCCATATACTTGCTTCCCCATACCCCGCTCTAAGGGAAACCCAAGAAACTTAAACCCACACCCACATTCCCCTCTACCCCTACAAACATGTAAGTATACACACATATATTGACATAGAAATCCCCACAAAGACCCGCTGCCCTCTTGAATGGCCTTGAGGGACCCCTCACCCTAAACCTAAGCCCTAAACTTTAAACCTTACACCCTGAATCCTAAACCTCTGAGCCCTCAACCCTAAAACCTACAGCCTAAACCTTAAGCCCTAAACCCTAAATCCTAAACCTTAAGCCCTAATTCCTGAATCCGAACCTTCATCCTCTAAACCTTAAGTCCTACACCCTAAACCCTAAAGCCCAAACACTAAATCCTGAATCTTAAGCCCTAAGCCCTAAATCCAAAATCCTCAATCTGAGCCTTAAGCCTCCAAACCTTTAACCATAAACACTGGGTCGGCCCCTGGGATATTTAATATTTTCCCTAATGGCTTTAATAAGGGACCCTATATACTAATATTTTTCAAAGGGTTTTAAGGGCCAATCCAGAACAGGTCAGCAAGAAGTTCGGCGCTGTGGGCCTGCCGGAGGGCACCCTCCACGTGTCCTTCATCGGAAGCTCAGGAGCCGATGGATTTAGGGTTTAGGGGTTTAGGAAAATAATGGAAACCCTAGGTCCCTTTAAAGGGATACATAGGGTTATATAGGGGTTATATGGGGGTTATATGGGGATAATGGAAAAGAAAATGGAAGCTACCACTTGAGGTTTAGGGTTTAGGTTGTGTAGTGCCCCCACCCAGTAACAGTCTATATTAGGGGTCCTATTAAGGGCTATATATAACCACATTATATGTATTATCCAACTGTTACTGAGGGGGGCAGTACCCAGGGTTCAGGGTTTAGGGTTATAAGGCTTTAGGGTTGAGGATTTAGGGTTCAGGCTTTAGGGTTAAGGGGGTTTTAGAGTTTCGACTTGAGCGTTTAGGGCTTAGGGACAAGGATTTACAGGGTTTAGGGTTTAGGGCTTGTATAGGATTCAGGGTTTAGGGGGGGTTTAGAGTTTCGGCTTTAGGGTTCAGGGTTTCGGCTTTAGGGGGCAAGTTGTGAGGCTTGGGTGGATATATAGGGATATGTACGGATGTTGGGAGATCTATAGCGATCTATGGATATGTCGGGTCTAGGAGATAGGGTTTAGGGTTTGAGAAAATGAGCATATGTAGGATGTATAGGGGTCTTTGAGGGACCTGTGGGGATATGTTGGGATGCGTGTGGTTCTGGGTTTAGGGGTGTTTCTTTCTCGGCTATGGTGTTTCATGTGGAGACTTCTCTTAGAATTGCATATGGGCTGGAGGAACAGCATTGTTGACCTTAAGCCCTAAGCATTTAACCCAGTGTTTAGATTCCGCTCTTGCCATGATTCGGGCTTAGGGTTGGAGGGTACAATACAGTTGTGATTGAGGGGTGGACGCGGGCACTAATTGAGGGCCCTTCAAAGCAAGGTTTAGGGGTTTGGGGTGAGGGGGCGGGGCGGAACCCTAAATTGTGCCATATGTTGAGTCATTTCAGTGTAGGATACACATGCACACTGACTGTAAGCCTGCTGTTTGGTTTTGAGAGTGGGTCAGGGTGTAAGGTGTCATCTCCGCTAATCATTTCAGGTGTAGGATTTGGAAGGGTGGTTCGCGCGAAGGTTTAGGATTCGGGGGATTGGCTTGTAAGCGCAGCCGAATGTTTGGGGCTAAGGGCTCATGGTCCAGGGTTGAGCCCCAAACTCTACCTGCATGTTGGGTCACCTCCCCACCCAGTAATGAGTACCATAAGGAACTAGTGTAGGAATAAAAAGAACTGCATATGGGCTGGAGGAACAGCATTGTTAACCCTAAGCCCTAAGCACTAAACCCAGTATTTAGATTCCGCTTTTGCCATGATTAGGGTTCGAGGGCACAACTCAGATCTGCACATTAAGGAGCCCAGTATGGGTTTAGGGTTTACGGTTTAGCGAGATTTTGGATTGCTTGATATAGCCCGTTAAGCTGCAAGCAAAAGGGCTACAAGCAGAGTTTGGGGTTCAGGTTTTGACTAGGGTTCCGAGTTTGGGGCTTGCCATTTAGGCTTTATCATTTAAGGTGTGGGTGAAGGGACCTTCAAAACCTTTAAGTATTATTTAACCCTCAACCCAAAGCTGATACACTTTAAAACGCTGAACCCTTATACAAGGATCCCTAAACCCTGAACCTTGAACCCTATCCTCTAGGCCCTGAACCTTGAACTCTAAACTCTAAACCCTAAACCCTGATCCCTAAATCCTAATTCTTAACCCCTAAGCCCTAATCCCTAAACCCCAAACCCCAGATGGACAGGACAGTCCTTCGGCAACTTCCTGGCTCCCGGAATCACCTTCGAACTCGAGGGCGGGATGCCTAGACAGCTGCAGCTGCTAAAGGCTTATGGTTTAGGGTCTATAGGGTGTAGGGTTTAGGATCTATAGGGTTTAGGGTCTATAGGATTTATGCTTTAGGTTCTATATTTAGTGTTTAGGATCTAGGGTTTATAAGGGTTAAGATTTTAGGGTTTAGGGTTCAGGTTTTAGGGCCTAGGACTATGTACAGGTTATCCTGAGTTGAGGCGTTAGGGTTTGGGGTGTATTCTGGGGGTTGGGTTTGCTACAATCCCCTTGCCCGCAGTTCTCGTCGACTTTCCCCAAAGGTCCTGCGACTGTGGGGTTGAAGTAGGCCTGGATTTCGGGGAAAAGAACCCCAAACCCTAAACCCTAAAGCCCTAAACCCAAAAACCCTAAGCCCTAAACCCTATAAGCCCTAAACCCTAAAACCCTAAACCGGGTAACTAGGCTTTGCAGGGAGCGTCTGATGTGCCAACGGTCGGGCTTCGACCGGGTTCAGGGTTTAGGATTCTTGGGGTTTAGGGTTCCGGGTTTGAGATTTTTGCTTGAGGATCTTGGGTTCAAGATGTCGGGTCCAAGGTTTGGGACTGACCCTAAACCCTAAACCCCTAAACCCCTAAACCCTAAAAACCCTAAAATGCCTAAACCGTTCACTGTTCGGGGTTTAGGTCCGAGGGCTCGCCTCGAGCAACCTTAGACTTTGCACACTGGGCAACTATACCAAATTCTTGGGTACAATTACAGATCCTTTTATACCAAAGTCTTGGGTACTTAGGAGTTAGGGTTTAGGGTAGGCCTTGTGTTCCCTGGTGCATTGGTTACTCTAGGTAGGGCTTAAATAGGGTTCAGGGCTTAGGGCTGAGGCTTGCAGCCCATTAGGGGTTATTATTGTGAAGAGGGCTATATAAGGGATTCTATAGGGGACTCTATAGGCTCATTTCAGGGGGCTCATATGGCCGATATGTTGTTGGAGGGGGCAACCCCATATTCTAGCCCCGTTTTTAAGAGCAAAGTAGACTTTCTAGGCCCCCTTTTGCATTCCTCTGTTCGAGGGAATATTGTCCTAAACCCAAAGCCTTGCACATCCCATGTCTCTCTGAACTCCCTATACAGGATTGTTAGGCTTCGCCATTTTTAGGCTTCGCTGTTTGTTTGGGGGGCGGTACGGCTGGCAAAGGCGACGCCAACGACTACATTGGCAAGGGCATCAGCGGCGGCACTCTGGTTGTCTACAAGCCAAACCAGGCGCATTGAATCTATGAGCTTGGGGTTTCGGTTTACGGGTGGAGGATTGGAGATTACAGTTAGCCTGGACTGCAAGGCTTGCAGTAAAAGCAGAAGCTATCTCCTACTCTGCTGATTCCGGCATTTTGAGTAGAGTCGAAGAGAGCGGTTCGGTTCTTCTGTTACAAGCCATTCCAGCAGACTTGCAGTCGGATGCGGTAAGTACTCGTGGTGTGTGCTGCGTAGGATTGATATTTCTGGGCATGACCCGAATCCAACCGGGAGGGGGTTCTGAGAAGGCTGCCATCCTGGCGCTGCTACACATCAATGCGTAAATCGGAAAATTATACCGCCGGTCTCGGGAACTTGGGCTACAGGTTCCTGATCCGATCCTGCTGGTGAGAGCGCTTGATGGGCTGACCAAACCACTTCATCAAAAGGCTCATCACTGATTCCGTCTCTCAACTTTCCGCCACTTGCAGGACTTAGATGTTATGCCGAGTGAGCTGTCGGTCTTGCAGTATTGTGAGCTGCTACTAGTCAGAACAAGCATTGCTTGCGCAGCTGGAGGGAGAAAGTTCAGAAGATCGCAGCCATGCAAACCGATGGGGGAGACGGTCAAGCAAAAGCAGGTCAGCCGATCAAGCCATGCCTAAGGCCCGATTGAGAAGCCTAAGTCGAGGTCTAGTAGCCCGAACCGAAAGACACCCCGGCATGCCTCCAAATGTTGAGTCCTGCCTCAAAGGACGTACTTAGATAAATTCATCATGTGGGGGTGGGCGCGGTGTTTAACAGGAAGCAGGTGAATTTCAGTGTTTGCGTAGGACTCCCTGTATAAGGTCTATCCGGGATAGGAGAAGTCTGGACAGTCCGCCACAACAGCCCTGGGACGCAGATGTCCTTAAAAGCTGTACCATGATGGTCCCTGTGGGTATCATTTCTCCATCCTGATCTGCATGAGGGTGTTCTTGATCTTTGGATTTTTGGGAGTGCCAACCCCAAACCCTAAACCCTAAACCAAAGCAAGGGGGGTAATTTGCTGTGAGCCTCATGAAACACCTTTGTCTCCTTCATATCGTAGCCTCGTGGGAAACACCGCGCCCCCAAACTGACATTTGAATCCCAAGAGGGTCCCTTAAAGACAACTGGCCATGTAATAGACAGCGGGCTCATGGCTTCCATGTTAGTTCAGGGGTTCGCATTTAGAGTTCAGGGGTTTGTCCGTTCAGACAGTGAAGGCGTCTGGAGATGTCGCGTGCAGGGCCTTTGCAAGGTAAAACACAAGCTCAATCCTGATCTCCCAACCCTTAATTGTAAACGCTAGCGCGCGCCCGCCTCGGCCGGCGTGGCTTCCCACTGTAGGAACATGTAATTATAGATATACAGGTATTTAAGTTAGGTATATGGATACAGTCACATGCCTAATACATACCC